TCAATTTCTGTCTCCCAGGTCTTCAGGTGGTGTTGAAATCCATAATGAAAGCCATGGTTCCTCTGCTTCAGATCGGCCTGCTGCTGTTCTTCGCCATAGTCATGTTTGCCATCATCGGGGTGGAGTTTTACATGGGCAAATTCCACACCACCTGCTTCAGGATTGACACTGGTGAGAGGAACAGCTTGGCTGTGGTGTGTGTTTGTGTGCCAACACTGATTATCAGTCGAGTCGATGCCAGGAAAATACTTTTTTCTGTCAGCTGTACTCTTGTGCTTGTTAAGGGCAAGAACATATATCGCATTGCATAGGCATACAATACATAAATGATTCATAAGTTTTGTATGCGTATGTGACTTATGAGTACCCACACACAGTGCTGGCAGGTAGGACTCCTATATCAACAAACAAACAAGTGCACAGATGAATATTTAATGGACATTTATCACGTCTTGATTTTGATATTTTCACAGTCTCCAGGTTTGGACTGATAGTTTCTGCTGTAATTCAGTAGTGATGTTTATGTACTCTGCCTCATGAGCCAATACAGCCTCATTAACTCAGATGATGTTAATGAGGCTGTAGTTCACTAGATCCAGCTTCCTCTTATATAACAAGTGTGTACATGAACCAGTACCAATATTGCAGGAATAATACCTAAGGTGAAACTTGCTGTTTGAGTGCATGTTTACTTTAAATAACTGCTGACAATTTGTCATCTGTCAACAGATGATATAACATTTCAGACTATGACCATAGGTCACGTTTCAGGCAGCCATTTTTTTTTCCATTTATTTGTGTACGAAAATCTAATCTTCAAAACTGGCTCTTGAAATTTCCTACAAATATGTGAGCTGAAACAAAGCATCCAGTCAATGTTAGTTACTGTCAGAGTTGCATGGTGATGTTCTTTAATTTCAGAGTTAAGTCTGCACCGAGCCCTCTGACAGACTGGCACCCTGTCCAGGGTGCACCCCGTCTCTCGCCCAGTGTCAGCTGGGATAGGCTCCAGCCCCCCAACAACCCTGTTCAGGAAGCCACACTCTCGAGCACGGGTTGGGTTTGGACAGAAATATGCAGCCTGATCCGTGCTCTAATATCAGTGAAGCCAAAGGAACAATGTGTATCATATGTCAATGATGTTGTTCAAGAACTTGGCTTCTTGCCTGGTGGAAAATAATTTCTTCATCCCCTTCATTCTGCCTTTTGAGAGTTTGCCTTCAGCTAAACAACATATTATAATTAGCCATTGATTCAGCTTTGTTGACAAGACAAACACAAAAGTGGGTTGTATCAGATAATTTCCCTTCTGAAATTAATTAGATAAATAAACTCCAAAATGATTTAGGATTTTCTAAAGTCTTCTGCAGATTTAACAGATGAGTATTTAAGTCACAGTTTTAGGTATTTATTTTATTTTAACATTTATTTATTCAGGATAGGTTCACTGAGAGGCAACCTCTCTGGTTAACATTCACTCGGTTATACAGTCACACCTCGAAGCTGCCCAGTACAACCACAGTTTCACTGGAGCAGCTGAGATTAAAGGCTTTGTTCAAGGACACCAGAGTTTTGATGAGGGTGGGGCAGGCACTGCTCTGTCAACTGTCCCACCGAGATTTAATCCTGACCTTTTGTTTATAATCGTGACCTTTAGACTACCACACAATTTGCAAAAAGTAAATACAAACTAGAAAACAGCCTAATTTTTTTTTTCCATTTTGTAATTTCATTAAGGAACTGCACCCAGTAGAAATGGAGACCTGAGATGTTCCCATATCATGTGTGGACACCGAGTCCAGCTGACACAGCACCTGTCAGTAGAAAGGCAGAGACATATTTCACTGGAGTGACACCAGAGGGATGTTGGCTGTGCAATCTGACTCTGCATATCATCGTTAAAACTTGGTACAGCTTGTAATTGAGTCACTATCCCTCATGAAACACTGGGTGCACAAGGCATCTGTTATACTCAGCACATTGATTCTTCATTCTGATCCCAGTCTGCTGACATGTGTGCCAACACATCCGTTAAACAAACTCTCTGTACCTCCATGTACAGTTGTCTCTCTGTCACTTCATAATCCCTGAAAACTCAGGCATACAGATGGTATAGGACACATCTTGTTTAGTGAGACTACATTCACATTGAGCTAACTAAACCTTTCTGCTTTTGTCTTCTGTAAGACAGTTTTTTGGATACACAACACAGAATTATCACATAAGCCTGCTCAAACATAGTCAGGGTGTGAGTGGGAATAAAGTAGAAAAGATCACAGATGTCATTCTATTGCACTCTCAGTATATATCAGTCAGATAATGACTGCAGTGATGTCTCAGTGCAGGAGTCCAGAAGATACTGTTCATCTTCCTTAACAAGAAGTGAGACAGAAAAATATGTAAAAGAGAACAAAGCTTGCTTTATCTAACAGCAGTATATGTGATGATTGAGAGCATTATCAAATAGCCCAATGCTACACCAAATCATATCCCGTTTGAGGCTTTTGGCATTTATTATTATGCTGCTTATTGTCTAGTGTTTCTATTAGAAAAGACATGTTGGGTTTGAGGGAAGCTTAGTAAAAAACTGACTTCATATTTACACAGTGTATAGCAGTTTTGATTTATCCTGTGTGTTCAGCTGAGGTGCACATCCTGTATGATGCTGCATACCTGTGTGAGTAATGTCAGGATTGATTCATCACAGTTTTTGTAAAGACAAATAAACATCACTAAAATCATGGTCTGGTCACTTTAAGCCAGCGTGTTCTACGGCATGCTGCCAGTTGTATGCTCCACTGGTTTGAATGTAATATGTAAAATAAGCTGTGAGTACAACAGAGATCTCAGTGTGATTGAACCAGGGGGTCTGAGGTCAGTACCATCTTCAGTGACAAGGACTCGTTTGAGAAGGGCCTGAGGGGCCATACCGCTATGAGTTCCCCTTTAGAAGTGTTAAGACTGCGTGACCAAAAAGCACCCCCTCTCATTCACTTGAATGGGAGAAGTTCACTGACTGATAATGCGATGTGCAGAACATGTTAACCCTGTTTCACAGTTTTATGGAACATGACATGATGTCATCTGGCAGGGCTGCATTGGCCAGTCATGCATGTGAAGGTGGTGCACACCTGGTGGGTTACTTTGTGGTGGTTCTCTTGTGTCACCACCAAAGATAAAACAGTTGCTGCAACAATAACATTCCAGGGTTGTAAAATCCTGTCTGTGAGTATTACAAACCACTGTGTTGTGGCATCTAATACGCTTTGAACACATACATTTGTTCCTGTATAACTGGGCTTCTCAGATTGTATTTCATTGTCTCACCTGCACATAAAACACACCTCTACCAACACAGCCTTCAGTGTTTTTTTGTTTTTCTCCAAAGCTCTGTTTTAATCTCTGTCTGAATATGGCCTTACAGACATGACTGATGACTGACTGTTGGTAGATCATGGGACACACTGGACCAGTATGAGGAGAACTGAGAAAGTTGCAGGGTAAAGGACATTTTTGCCTGCTCCACCCTCACTGAGGCAGTTCTAACCCATATCAAACCTGGAAGCACTGGGGACACTGGAGCCAATCCAGCTGCTTAAGTTGTATCAAAAATTAAAGCTTTCCAATTATTTAGTCACCAGACATCTCTCCATCCATCCGAATGTCACCAAATGTACAAGTTGCATATTAAAATTCACTGCCTTCTTTCTTTCTCTGTTGGTCAGGTGAGAGAGCAGCAGACTGGCCTTGTGGTTTGGAGCTCCCAGCCAGGACCTGTGCCAATGGCACCGAATGCAGAGAGTACTGGACTGGACCTAACTTTGGTATCACCAACTTCGACAACATCCTGTTTGCAGTGCTTACTGTGTTCCAGTGCATCACCATGGAGGGCTGGGTGGATATTCTCTACAGCGTGAGTCTATGTACACTAAACATTTTGGACATTTGTTTCTAATATAAATGTTCATGCTGTTATTCCTCATATGTTTTTCATCAGCATACCCACTCAGCTATTTCTCATGTTCTAGTGGCAGCGCATAATGATTTTATGTTAGTTTGTGTTTGATTGTGGTTTTGCCCAGTACACATTTGGGTACAGAGTATGATAACATGTAGAGCCTAGACTGTCATGAACTTTGGTAAGGTTATTTATATGTTTGAGCACAATGAAGAGTTTGGCCTCTAGGAACCACTAGGGATGTTTTAGGGCAAAGACACACCAAGCTGACGTAAAAGAATTAGCAGCGACAAAGGTCGACTGCTGCGATGCCTCACGTCAGCTTTGAAAAAGTGACACTTAAACACACCACACAGACTACAGCCATGGATGACAGGCAGGAGGGTCCCACTCATGCTTTACCTCTTTGCTCATTTTTGGATTAGATGTAGCAGGCGGAATGAAGCGCTACCATTATGACAAAGGCTAGACTTGAATTTCAACATTGCTGTTCAGAAAACCAGCGGGTGATGTCACAGTGGGTTTGTCCAGCTTTTATATACAGTCAGTGGGGCCCAAACCAACAACCTTCTTGCTTTGAAGCAGCAGCACTAACCAGTGCACCACCATGCAGCTTAGGTTGAATGGTGACTCTAAACTGCATGTAGGAGTGAATGTGAGTGTGTGTGGTTGTCTGTCTCTACATGTCAGCCCTGTGATAGACTGGCGACCTGTCCAGAATGTACCCTGCCTCTGGCCCAATGTCAGCTGGGATTGGCTCCAGTCCCCCCGTGACCCTCTTCAGGATAAGCAGTATAGATGATGATAGATGGATACATATGACAATAAATAATAACAATTTATAACAATCTGCAGCTGAACCCTAAACAGAGATGTTGCTTCTGGGTCATTAGGTCGAACACCTCCAGATACTCAAGTTCTCAATCCTTTTCTCTCTGTCACCAGCCCAAACAATTTGCTTTCTAAATTCTGGCACATCTATTCTGGTTTTTCAGGACAGCCAAAAGCATGATAGGGCCTTGTAGAAACATACAGTCCCAGGATGCTTAAAAAAAAGAACAAGAATTCCTCAAGGATGATGGATGTTCTGCCAAGCAGAACTAAACAGTGACAGTGTCTGGGCTAATCCTACAATGGCTGGCTCATAGGATACAAAATCAAACCAGCAGAACCTACCATATAAAAAAATATGACACAAATTTCCTGAAGATGAAAAAAAGAAAAGAAAAAGAAAAAAGATTTTTAGTGCCAGCGTTCTCTCTGTTCTACATTCTATGTGAAATATGATCAGCTTATTGATCAGTTAAATTTTATTTGGCAAATTATTTGTTGCATTATATATACACGTTCTTCATCATCTTCATGTATCTTTTTTCTGTTTTTAAATTTTCCCTTTACTCTCACTTCCTAAGTGTCCTTTTCCTTCCACTGCTTCATCTCCTCCTCTCCCAGGAGAGAGCAGCTACCTGGCACAACATTGCGAGCCACTTACAGAGCCATCTTTCCTCCTCCTCCTCCTCCTCTTTCACCTTGTTCCTCCTCGTTTCACTCTAAACATCTCCTTGAGCCTTTCCTGGCTCATTATCCTAAACACTGCAGACCCACCCTGCTGCCATCTGAGAATACCTTTTCTCTCACTCTGCACTTTTGCTTTGTATTTTGGTCTTTTTTCCTCTTTCTGCTCTAAGTCATTCCTTTAAATCCTCCAGTTATTTTTACTCCAGCCATGTTTGTGGCTTTCATCACTGTATTTTTCTCATCCACCTGTTCGACTACTTTCTCTTCATACTGCTGAATTTTACCATGTAGGCCCTGTGTGTTTATTCTCTTTTCCTTCTTCTTTTAGCCTAATTCAGATGCAGGAAGCAGTGTTTGGCTCAGGTGGGAGAGGTTCCTCAAGACTATTCTCACATCCTGTTGAGGCCCATTTTGAAACTGTTTTGATTGGTCTGATTGTTGATCTTGATGTTTACTACACCACACACACACAGTGTATTGTTGAGCACTTTTTACAGCGTTTGAGAAGTTTAACATTAACGCCTTTCTGACTGCTGGCTAACCACTGCACATCTGTCTGTTGAAGCCTTTGGTGAATTGTTCAGTGTCTCAGTCAGACTTCACCCTATAGGCTTGTGTGTGTAGCAAGTGCTATTTATCCATTAGAAGAACCATGAAAAATATTTGGTTGCGACTGCCTGGAAGGTGACTTGTCTGTAATGGTTAAACCACATGGTGGATGTTACTGATATACGACTCTAGAATGCTGGAGGTCAGATTTCCTCCTTCCATTACATCCACAAAATTTCTCCTGTTGTAATAATAACCAGAGTGAAAACTGGATATTAATATGAGGACAGATTAGGATCAGATTCTGTTTAAGATGTTGCTGGTATCACCATTTTGTGCATACAGTAAAAGCCCGCCAAACCCTATTTGTACTTGTTGTACAATTATGAGTTGTTCTTGTAATCATGTGTAAGGGTGTTGGAAAGCACTAACAAAAAGACGTGATCCAGTGGATAAGGCCAGGTTGATATTGCTTTGGAACAACAATGTATTTCCTCACTTTGTTTTTTGTTAGACCTGTTTTTATCCCTAGGAATCACAAAGTTGTTGTAAAAGTGTTAGAGGACACTGTGTGCAATGAGGGTTATGCGTATCACTACACCGCTCAGAATACTGAGAATAGTGGGTAGAAAATGTAAATGAGCCAGTGAGTAAACAGCACAGTCCCTCTGAGCAAGTTAAAGGTTAAAAAAATAAAACTCACTCAAGCATTAATAGAAGGGATATTGTGTTCTGAGATTACGCCTTATTTCTTTCAATGAAACTGACTCACCCATCATAAAAGGTTCCTCAGGTTTACATTGTTTTGAACTGGGCTTGGGTATCATCCCCATCTGTCTCCACTATACACCCTCTTTAGTGGTAATGCCGTGACAGACATCTATAAAAGACAGTAAAGCTGTGCATTGATTCACACTGTGAGTGCTGCGTTAGCTCCGACCCAGTGACACTGTTGCAGTGGCAGCAGCAGCATGTGGGGGTGGCTTCTGAGCCTTCATAATGTGACAATCTTCATTTCATGCTCTGTGATTTTATTACATTTTCCCCGTCTCTCCTGGTGACCCAACGGCTGTCAACAAATTAGAAGCAGCCTTAATTAGCCTGCTGTGTCATGTTCTGGTTTCACACTTAAAAAAAAAAAAACTACGTCATTTAGTATTGCATTTGCTGTCATTTAATCATTGCATTCAAATGCAACTGAACACAGCTTCCTACATCAGTGGGATCCTACATGATCCTACAAATTTCTACCTAATATTTTTGTTGATATATTATTTCTTTAACTGGACAGGGTTCCTTCGGATAAAAATTCATGCCATGTACTACCAGCCACCAATCAGTATTTATCAGTTCTGCTATTATAGTAGTAGATAGTAAGGTTATACTACAAGAGAATACAGTCATCAGTTGTTGCTCTATCATAATATTACCTGTAGTGATCTACTGTGTGATGCACTGTAGCAACCGTTTACTGAGATCTGTGATTTGCATGGTTTATTGTGTATGTGTGAGATGCTTGGAGTCGCAGACACCTTTTCCTGTCACTTCATCAGAGCTGTGTGAATCACTGAGGCAGGTACACTTTGACTTTGTCAGGGTGACATTTTGTGCCATCAGGACAGTCACAGTACTTGTCAAATGTATAAACATTCACCCATGACTGTTTGTGAATCCTTGGACGTCAGCGGATGTACTGTAGCTAGCTGGAGTAACAGTGTCAAAGTAAGGATACTGAAGTTATAAAGTTCAGTTCAGGCGAATCTATGTGTTTGCCTGTGGGGACGTCTCTAACAGACGCAGCTGTGGCATTTTATCACTCTATAACATTGAGCAGACAAGATTAGCATCCATTTGGAGTCGTCCATGTGCCCACCTGATGACATTTAGTTCTGTTTTGGTCTCCTTTGAAAAAGATCTCTCTTTAGCTGCTAAAGGTTCTGCTTTCTTCAGCTCGATGTTAGCTTTGGTGCCATTTGGAGCTGAGCAGGGAGTGTGCAGTAGGTGCATTAGAGCGTGTTTGCTGAAGACAGCTGCCTGCTGCTGCTGGAAACAAAGTTGATGAAAATGTCCCACTCCCGGGCCCCATGTCTTCTCTTGTCTTATCTAACCTAGCTCTTGCCTTTTTCTTGTTTTCCTGCTCTGCCCCACTGCACTCATGTTCACCTGCTCTTTAGCTGTGTAATTGTTCAGTCTGTGTTTATACCAGCAAAAAATCTTCACTTTAGGACAGATTTACTGTGTGTATCCTCTGTGGTCATGTAACAGGATGTGCTTGTTTTTTTTTTTATCTCAGTTGTCTAGTCATTCATGTTTCTTTGTGTTCTGATGTTTTGTGTTATCTTGTATTTTGGACTCTGCCTGCCCTTGGACCTTACCCCTGCCTAACTCTTTGCTTTGCCTGGACTGACTGGGCCTACCTGCCTCTGACCCTCATTTGAACATGATTCTGCCTCTGGTTCTTGCATTCAGTTTTGCCTGCCTGGCCTTATTTTTTCTCATCACATCTTTCCTTGAGAAATGTGACACATAAAAAGCAAAACTGTCAGCTAAACAAGGCTAAATGTCAGTGCCACACTTTCAAGTCAGTTGATCCACTGACCTTGGTGAAGCTTTCATTTTTAATATCTGTTAAATAAAGTGAGATTCCTCATAAGTTTGATGCAAGACAGGTGTAACATACTGTAGGATTCTTGAAATTGCATTATCATGCAATAGGCAATTAGAATTTTAAGGGATTTTGTGTTTTTTTTCACAGTGCTTTGAAATGTAGAACAGTTTCCATTGAGGTAAAAGAAATCGTGGCTCTGGCCACCAGACTTTATATTTTGAAGCAGACAACCTTTTGAACTCAAACTGCCTGATAAAATATCACTAAAATTAGCTTGCAGCAAATGAATTCTGTGTCCAAAGACTTTGACAGAGATGACAGTTTAACCAGGATGCCTTTTTTATTATAGTCGTCTCTCTGAAAACCTTTTGCCCTTTGTGCCACCAGAGCTGTTGAGCACAGTCCCAGCTGTGTGTTGTGAAGGACTGTAAGGAGCTGCAGAATTGATTCGGAGTGGCTGTCATCTCAGCAGGCTTTCCTTGCTGTCAGAGAAAATGTGTATCTGTGTTTGTGTAAGCTGAGAGTGGGAGTACACTGTCACCACAACTACAGTACATGATGCACGACTCCAAATTATGTGGAAGCTTGTTAGTCACTGATCATTCGGAGCAATCAGCCAGCAGTCAGTCACTCATAGGAATAACAGAGGTGGAATAACTATCAAGTGAATTTATATAAAAATGTTAATCTTGGTGTAAGATATTACCTAAACTTTCATACATTTCCGCCCACAAATTTCATTAATTGTCAGTTTCATAAAGTTTAGCCATATGGATTGGAAGAAAAAGAAAAGCCATGTCGTTGCATTGGTGTGATATTACATTACCACTTGTTGCAACTGAAGATGAGAAGCTGCTAAATTGTACAACAATGGCCTGCACGTAGCCCTGACCACAACCTTATGCAACAGCTCTGGGACAAACTAGAATATTGATTTTGAGTCTGGCCTTATCACCCAGCATCAATGGTCAACCTCACTAATGCTCTTAAGGCTGAATGGGAACAAATCCCTGGAGCCAGGTTTCAAAACCTGATGGAAATCTGAAACCAAAAGAGTGGAGGCTGTTAGCACAGCAGATTGTCTATGGTTTTGGGATGAGATGTAAAAAAAAAACACGGGTGAAATGTGGCAACATACTTTTGTGCAGTGTCTTTTTAGGACATCCTATGCTATTTTTCACTTTTATATGGTCAGAATGAGCATAGATCGTTATTGAGGAGATGGGCAGTGTGTGCCTGCAGTAGAAATGAGCTGTTTAGATGTGTGTGTGTGAGTGCCTTTGTATTACTTACATCCTTGCGGGGACCACAGGCTGGTCCCCGCAAGGAGAAATCACTGAATTTTTGGGTGCCAGCATGGTTTAAGTAAGGGTCAGGGTTAGGATTAGGCAGGTAGTGGTTATGGTTAAGGTTAGGATATGTCTACAGGAAATGAATGTAAGTCAATATAAAGTCCCCACAAGGAATGAAAAGACCGCCGTGTGTGTGTGTGTTTGGGGTTGTATGTGAAAGAAAAGTCATTTAATCACTCACCCTGCCTACTGGATGACTGAATCGTCACATCTGTTTGTGGCAGTTCATTTGAAACAGACATTTTTGAGCTGTAGCTCATGTTAAATTAAACTGCTGTTTTGGTGCTTTTTCTTGGTGGGATGTTACTTGGTGGGTTTCTTTGTTTAGAAGAGCACAGAGATGGGGGTTTTAATTGTTATTTTTAAACTGAAAAGTTTTTCTGAGGCAAGTTGGTAAATGCTTTTTGTTCACTCAGCCAAGTTAGGAAAAAAGTACATACGTAGCTGTGAATGGGAAAGTGGGATGAAATGCATTCAATGTCATCTCAGGCTGGTACATTCAAAAATCTCATTCCATTTACTTATTGTTTGGAGCATGTTCATTCACTTTTTCTTACTTTTTTTACTAAATGACTCATACTAAATGACTTAACAGTACATGTTATAATGAAACATTTACATAAGTACCTTAAAAGGTGATTTTAAACAAATTATTTAACTGAGAGTTTAGATGTTTGTGTCCCAAATCTATATTTTTGCTCTGATAGTTGTAAAGTGTCTATGTTGTGTTTATGTATCCAGACCAATGATGTGGTAGGAAACACCTGGAACTGGCTCTACTTCATCCCCCTCATCATCATCGGCTCCTTCTTCATGCTCAACCTGGTACTCGGTGTCCTGTCAGGGTAAGTCAGTTCTTAAAATGTGGTATTAAAATGCGATAAAGCTGAACTCCAAATGGAGTTGTGTATTTAAAGCCACGTTTTTTGTAGCCTGAAGGCATTCCAGGTGGAAACATTCAGGGCCAGTATGGAGAGTTGGAGAAGTGACAACCACAAAGACCTTATCATGTGCACAGGATTACAGCAATATTGCTTTAACACCAACTTTAAAAAAAAACCCTTCCTTTAAAGCTTTGGGACAGTGTCCTGCCTGACTCAACTACAGTGGAGAAGAAGGTTTGTGAGATAATAAAGACTGTCAGTTAGAGACATGCTGAACAGAGGGTGAGTGATTAAATTAACAGCCTATTCACCTCCCCTCCTCATCATCTGGTGCTTCTCCTTTGTACTCTCTTTGTCATCAGCTTCCCCTGTCATCCTCTTGTGTCATGAAAAGGCCTCGCTCTGTGGCTTTAATCATCAGTTTCTCTGTGATTCTGATGTTTCTCCATCTCATTTTCTGTACGTCTTTTCACCTGTTTGACTCACGGCCATGGCCCCAGCAAAATCTGACATGACGTTGGAGTTTTTGTCATTGTGAAGAAAAACTGTATTCCAAGACGAGGAGTGGTTTTCTTTTTTGCCCTTTTGGTCGTAAAACTGCAAGCATGTGCACCACATGTTCTGCCACATCAGTAATGACTTTACTAATGTATTGTATTGTCCGTTTCATTTTACTATAACATCCGTCTTCATAAGACCACTAAGACAAAACTAACTTTAGCAGTGAAAATGATTTATAGCTGCTGTTTTAGTTTTGCTTGTTATGTTATGTCTGACCAGTGAAAAATAATCATATTCTTCAGTCTCTGTTAGGTCACTTTTATTTGTTGTCCTATTAGGGTTGAGTGATAATGAGACATGATGAAGCTGCCTCTTTACACTGCCTCTGTATAGCTACTCTATAGAACAGCTTCATTGCATGTCACACTCTGAGATGAATTTAATTAAATCTTGGTTACAATGTGCTTGGCAGTACAACATCAGTTTTAAAACATTTTTCAACATTGAAACATTTTAAAACTTTTTATGTTTGATGTTTCATGGTTTTTATATGCTAGTTATTTGTTTGTTGAGGAATGTCACTGCTGCAAAATGACCTGCTGCAGAATGTAACTTGAACATGTCAGATTGCAAATTCCTGC